CAGTTAGCATCAACAATACGTCTGCCCCCCCCCAACGATCCCTAGGCGTCGCAACCTCCGTCGCATGACGCACCTCCTACAGGTACCTGTTCCTCTACCCTTCTTCCAAATCCATCCTTTGTCACCTTCTCATCTATGTCATTGTTTACCGCCCGACTAAACGTGCCCACTTTATCCCTTGCACCACATCGCACAACGCCAAGGACGTCGCCATTCTCTTCTTCGATCATGTCGCACGCCATCACGATCTCCCCGAGGACATCAGCGATTGTGATCCTCGCTTCCTCTCACAATTCTGGAAACACCTCTTCAAGGCCTATGGAACCACGCTCAAGTACAACACTGCATTCTACCCACAGCCCGGCGGACAAACAGAGAAGATGAACGATACTCTCCAAAGAATCCTGCAGAAGTATTGTTATCCACACCAACACGATTGGGATCAGTTGCTCACTTCCGCCGAGATTGCCTACAACAACGCCGTTTGTCCTTCCACTAGCATGTCTCCATTCTACCTTTACCTTGGCTACCATCCTCGCTTGCCCTCTGACTTCTTGCTTCCTTCGCAGCTTAACCCATCCACCCCCTGCCCTTCTCTCAATGAATGGGTAGCAACAATGAACAAACTCCTCGGAGAAGCCACCGAAGCCCTCGAACGAACACAAGAACAACAAGCCAACAAGACCAACAAACACAGACGTGACGTGTCATTCCAAGTAGGGGACAAAGTTTGGCTCTCCACCAAACGCTTTGAACCCGAACACGCCTTGTCCAAGAAACTCTCGAACAAGTGGCTCGGACCCTTCCCCATCATTGAACAAACCTCCCAAGTCAACTACAAATTCCAACTCCCTCTTGATGTGGCTCTCGTTCACCCTGTCTTCCACTTGGAGTACCTCAAAGAATACCATGAATCCCCATCCCAATTTGCTGACCGCCCATATCCTGGACCTCCACCAATCATGTTACCCACAGGCCCTAAATTCGTCGTTGAAGCCATCATAGGACGAAGAACTACTCAGGTATCTTATCACCCTGGACCATCACATAATACAAAGTTAAATGGACATGATACCTTGACGAAGAGTCCACATGGGAACCGATTGCTAACCTTAAGATGCCATGAAACTTGTTCGCGCTTGTGATCACTCCCATCCTATACCCTAGCTACCCACTATGACTAAGCCCCGCTTAAACCCTACCTAAACCCTACCTAAGCCCTGCCTCCCTGCTCTACACACATCCCCTGTACCCAGAAAAACCCTTGCCTCTTGACCCCCCTCTATCTGATCCGCTCTTGTCTCCGTCCTGCCCCGTTCTCCCATGTCCTCCGCCACATCTCTGTCCACCTTGTCCAAGTCCTACATGTGGCCCCTGCGCGTTGCCGGCGATAAAAGATCTAATGGCAAGCGCATGAGGAGGATGGCATGCTGCAGCTCAGTACGAGGAGATAAGACAGCTGGTTGGCCACCATGCTGTTCCCTTTGGCCGGTGCCTTGGACTCATAGACTTCCGGAGCAGCACCCCTGACATGGACATCAAGATCAGTCTGCGACCTGCTATTCGGATCAGACCTCATCACCAGATCGTGTACCGGACGCAACCTGCTACTGGGACAATCAAGCTGAAGCCTTCGCCGTCTATATCACAGAACTGCTGAAGATTGCTTCCTCACCGCCACTTCTGCGACACCCGCCAAGACCTTCCTCAAGGCATTTTTTCGCTTTTGACACTTTGTTACAGACCTGAGACGTTTTTTTCCTGGACCCCTCAGACACCCCAGCGCTTGAGCATTGAACAAACAATTTTTATGTTTATTTTCTCAAACCTGACAACCTATAACCTTGTAGAACGTCAATAGAATTACCCTGTTATCTGAACATTGATTCCCCCATCCCTGTAGAACATCGGTAGGATTCCCCTGTCACTTGAGCATTGATTCCCTCACCCCTGTAGAACCTCAATAGGCTTACCCTGTTACTTGAGCATTGATTCCCTCACCCCTGTAGAACCTCAATAGGCTTATCCTGTTACTTGAGCATTGATTCCCTCATCCCTGTAGAACCTCCATAGGATTACCTTGCTACATGCATTACTCCCCCTTTCCTTTTCTGACCAGTGATCGACCCCGTCCCGTCCTTCACAGTTGTTCATTGGGTCTTTGGCAGCCGGGACGTTGCCAACCAGAGGGAGGGGATAGTGTTACGGACTCAGCCAGGGCTCGATCCCTGGTTCGCGGGTTACCACCCGCCAGGCTGCTATTTTATTTTTGAATCGCTGATCTCTGGTTCCTGACTGTTGGCGCCCTCTGCAGTTTGCGCCCGTTCTCAAGTCCTCCCGCTGGCACTTTCGGATTTCGATACTTGGCGCCAAACGACATTCTGGCGCCCAGGCTCAGACCTTCGATTTTCAGTTTAGCCCTGAGGCAAATTGCACTTCTGCCCTCCGGACTCAACTTGAGTCCGGTACTTAAGACCGGACTCAAGCTGAGTTCGGGGACTCAGTTTTCAGCCTCAGTGCTTGTGCTTCAGTGTGACTTGTGACGACATTGTGTATCGAAGATGCAACTTTGCGACTTTGCGACTTGCCTCTCCGTGTCTGCGTCCGTCGAGTCGAGTCCGTGTCGAGTTGAATGAGTGTGTGTGTGTGCTCTCACTCTCACCCTCTCCCTCTCCCGGTCTCGCTACTCTGCCTCCGCCCCGTCACACTCAAGATGAACTGGAAATAGATGAAGAAAGGAATTAGAATGGAGAAGGAAAGAAGAGAAGAAGATAATACATTTTATGCAATTAAATGCGTAAGATTCATACTTGTGGCGCACTTCTGCGGTGCGCCGTGCGGTGCATGTGCTCCATATGCCATGCGCAAATTAGTGATGCGCTCGTGTTACATTTTCGACGCAAACGGGTCCTACCGGACCCGACTTAGGGTCGGAAGGACACATCAGGGCCTAAAGGCCCGACCTTGGGGTATTACAGGCCCTAAAGGTCTGATCTTGGACCAGTACCCGACGGGCAGGCCCAAACGGCATTATCGTTTGGGCCTGGCGACGCTCTTGAGGCTGCCGCCCGCCGGTTGGGGCTGAACCGTCCATCTGGACGGTTCAGGGCATGGCCAGGCCTCGCAGCATTGAGGCCGGCCTCTGCCCCACCGGTATAAGTACCGGTACAG